TAAAAGATGCGCGTCCACCCCCACCCACAGCCCCCCCCGGCGGCTGCGGGGGGTGGGAGTATGGGGGGGGGGGAAACCCACAAAGCTGCCAAGGTTGGAAGACACTGGCTTAGCACAATCAGGTTTGGTTTGTCAATCTGACAAACCAAGCCATGAACCGCCACTGAGAGCCAGCCAGGGAGTGTTGAAATGGGCCAGCGCGGAGAGCAATGTTGTGACCCCGAGGCGCTCCACTGAACGCTTTGCCGTGATAAGACCCTTGCAAGGGAACAACATGGAAGCAGGCAGGCACCCACCCTTTGTGTGGAGGAGATTCGGAGCCAGAATAATTGAGCTGTGAATCTGGGCCTGCGTAGGGGGCACCTCTCATGCGGAGGGTCTCTGGAGAGCCCTGAACGTGTGCTGGGAACAGGTGCCGTTGCCCCTTGGGGTCCTCTTCAGCGATACGCGTGGCAGCTGCTGCTGGAGGAACAGAGGGCCCTTTTGGGTTAAGGAGGGCCACACGGCCTGCATCTTTCCCCCCTTCCCGTGTGAGGGCTTGAATCTTCGCCCCTGAGGATGTGGGGTTGGCGTTTGCCCTTGGGCAGTTAGCTCAGCCTTGTATTGTGAGGGGCCTTGGTGTGGGTTGAGCAGTCTGGGTGGGGCCTGTGCAGGAAGAGAGGCAGATTTGCGGGGGGGGAAGCTTGCAAAAGATACAGAAATTACACAGCTCTTCCAGATGCTGGTCCTTGGCGTTGGGTTTTGATCTTCCACCTCGCGTCTGACACAGATTTACATGCGTGCGCAGTCCCCCCTCTCTGTCCAAATGGAGACTTCGTTTGCCCGTTGGAAGTGGCCTCCTAGCTGTAGTTGAAGAAGAAACCCTGATGCTAACCCCAGTTGAGTATCTACAGCAGTTGAGGCCTTCTCCTGCCCCCAAGAAGAAGCCAACCTTGGAAGTCCACTTGGGAATCCCACCACTCCACGCCTTCCTGTTGTCTGTTATCCTGGAAAAGGAAGGCTTGATCATCTGGGCGATGATTTGGTTTGTGGACAGGGCCTCAAAATGTTAACCTATTTGTCAATACCTGCCCTTTTTTTTTTTTTTTTTTTTACTCCAGAGAGGATTGTCCAGAACAGCCTTGGAAATACTGTGCCCCTTTCTCTGATTTGGTTTGTGGACAGGGCCTCAAAATGTTAACCTATTTTTCAATACCTGCCCTTTTTTTTTTTTTTTTTTTTACTCCAGAGAGGATTGTCCAGAACAGCCTTGGAAATACTGTGCCCCTTTCTCTGGTGGCCCTGTAGAGGGTGCTGATGTAATGGGAATTGCTTTTTATATTCTGTTATTACAGTCCGTTCCAGGCATTTAGCGGCCCAAAGCGTCCGTTCTCTCCTGGAAAAATATCAAGTCAAGTGCTGATTTTGGGGTTTTTTTTCTCCTGTAATTTTTGTACCGCCTTATTATGATCTGTCTGTCAATGGAAGAGCAGTGTGAGGACGGGTGATGGTGTTTTTCTGCACACGTGAAAAAAATAATTACACGGGTGAGCGATACCAGATTTGCTAATTATTGTTTTCTTCACCACAGAAAAGAGCTCCTCCTCCTCCATTTGAACTTTGTAGTTATTTAAACGCATACAAATTATTTCCTTTTTTAGGTGGATTGTAACAGGGTCCCCCCCAACCCACTGGAAGAGTCACAGCATGATTTCCAGCTATGTGTGGCTGCAAAAGAATCTACTTACCTCTATAGTAATCCCCCCCCAACCCACATATCTTTGTCTTGTTTTCTCTTCTTTAGAGATGATCTGGGTTCAAGGGCTAACTCTCCCTACGTCGGCTTTAAAAGACGAGGGACGCTGGATTTCTTACATTTTTGCTTGGATTTTTCCCTCCCTCCTTCTCCCCCCCCCCAGGAAGAGGAAGCCAAACAGCTTGTGAGAGATGCCATTGCAGCTGGCATATTTAACGACCTGGGCTCCGGCAGTAATATTGATCTCTGCGTCATCAGCAAGAGCAAGCTGGACTTCCTCCGTCCATACAACACGCCCAACAAGAAGGGGGAAAGGTGAGCATGTGCGAACCAGCCGGTTTTCCTAGGAGAGGCATTGAGATTGCCACGCATCTGGCAGATGCCAGCTTGGGGAGAGCGGCTCGGAAGCCTTTGAGATGGGGAAAAACCTGTGTGAGGTCGTAGCTATAGGATAGCCTGTAGGTAATTAACCACGGTGTTGTCTTAAATGATCAAGGCCACTGCAAGGGAATTCTAGCTGGGGGACGCAAGGCTGCGCTGACCGGGTCAAGTTTTCAGCTTCAGTCCAGGGCACAGGCTGAAAACAGTGGCGTTTCAAAAAACCTGCCCTCTTCCTGACCAGTCTTACAAAGGCTTTGGGGCCACCGTCTTCCTGCAGGGGGTTAACCTTTCCTCCCACGGCGCTGATGGATAATTCAGGCTGGGGTAGGCTTTTTGCAGAAATGATCATGAACAGCCAGAAGTGTTTGGATGAGAGGTGGGCTCCAACTTGCTCAGGCTCAAAATGGAGGCTTCCAAAGGAGGGGTGTGTGTGTGTCTGTGCGTGTGTGTGTCTCTTTCCAATCTTTAGGTTGCAATCCCCAAATCTCTGGGAAAAGACGCTCGGTCTAGCTTGTGTGGGACGTGGGGCTCCGGCGTGGCCGAGTGACTCAGACAGCAGGACTTGGGGAGGTGACGGCCTCTCTTTCCCCACAGGCAAGGAAAATACCGGTGTGAGAAGGGAACCACGGGCATCCTGTCTGAAAAGGTGACACGCCTGGAGCTCGAAGTGGCAGAGGAGGCGGTGCAGACCATGGATACGTCCTGATTTCCGGCGGAGATGCCAGGGCATGGATTGGGGACCGAGAGTATTCCTTTTAAGTTGAAATGCTTTTGGAATGTTGCAGTGAACCAAATTAATAAACCAATAATGGGAACGGCCAGGTTGCTCATTTCGTGACTCCGGAGGGCAGGGAAGTGTCGCCAGGTCCCCTTTCTGCCAAGTAGGACCCATTGTGCTCTACCTGCTGCGAGGTAAGGGACCTTGACAGGTTTAAATATTTAACCCTGCGGCCCTAGGAAGCGGGATTCAGATGGCCTGCTAGCATAAGAACCCCACTGACATCTTCACGGCCGCTCCTCGCCAGCTCAGCGTTCCGCCGACAGTACACGATGCTAAGGACCCTTTTCTTTTTACAAAGGAAACTTTATTTTGTAAATCATTTAAATCTTACCTAAAAACGCACCGTTGCCATATTCTTCTTTGAAAGTACATTGACTTAAGCACTAAGAGGCCTTACGGCACGTGCGAGAGAGCGATCAGGTGGAGCAGGCCCATCTGTCGTTTGAAATTCCCCAAACAGCCCAAAACTTTCTCAAAGTTGTACCCCAAGACCAGGTTGCGTCCCCCCCCCCAAAAAAAACGCCTGCAGAGCCGTGGAAACCTCCAGAGCTGGAGCAGGGCGCCGTCTTCCATCCCACCTCCCTGCCATTCTCTTGGGCAGCCATTAAGGAGGGATCTTAAAACCTTTGTTCAAAACTGATTACCGAGTAGCACCGTTTTTCAAAGGCAGTGAGATGCAGAACCTTGCGGATAGGAGGTATCTTTAATCTTTACTTCCAGGAAAAAAGTAACTTTGCTCTAAAAGCCCGAATCTCGCTATTCCCCCCTCTAAAAAGTGCCCTACGGAAAGAAGCTGACGGCTACTGCTCCTCTCCTGGGGGCAGATGCCGAAAATCCTGTTTGGTTCCCCCCTGCTTGCAAAGGGACGGCCTTCTGTGGAAACGGACCCCCCCCCCTTAAGGAACCGAAGTGGCGGACTCGAGCCACGGCTACGTCAAATGAAAACTTGAGCCTTACACCCACGTAAGGGAAAGCTTAAGTCTTAACATTTCCTTCAGATCAGCTTGCTTAAAATATTCACATTCGTAAACGAGTCTTCACAGTAAATAAGCAGGTGATCGTGTTGGAGTTTTTAAAAAAAAAAAGTCATTTTCTTTGGACTGACTTTGTTTCATGGCTTGACTTTAGGGATTCAACCCTTGCTCTGAGATGGCTAGAGGTGGGCTTTGCAGGAAGGGGCCGTGTCTGCTCAGAGCGCCTGTAGGAACGCTGGCGTGTAAGAATGGCTCCCGAGCCTCGCGGCGTCTGTGCCAGTCTTGGACCAGGAAACACAACACTCCTCTGGTTTGGAGCCCACGCTGGCCTCAGCGGCCAGGGTGACAACTTGCACTGCAAAAAAGTCATTCTACGGTTTGCTTACAAAAGAAAATTTCAGCCGCCTCCATACCTTCTTCTCGCAAGGGAGGGAAATACCAAAAAAATAAAAATGCAGGTTGGATGCTTGTCTTCTTTTAAAAAATACATGTACTAGAAACTGAACGTGCTATTAACCACTGCTAGGAGAAGCAAAGTAGCAGTTATACAAATTACACCAAAAAAAAAAAAAAATCTACGGTAATTCTTACATTAGGATAAAGTGATTTCACCAAAGGAATTATTTTTTTCAATATTTCACATTAGTTAAGATACAAGGGGTGTGTCCAATACACCAATGAGAAACCCTTCCTATAGAGACTAACCTAGATTACACACAACAGTTTGAAGAAAGGATCTTTTAAGAGATCTACATCTGTAACATGTTAATCGGCTTTTGAAGAGGCCTTCGCTTAGAGCAGATCCGCCCGGTGGGCACCTGTACAGAAATCGTGAAGGGTCTTCCGAGGAAGGCTCAACTCCTGCTGTTGAGGCTGGCGAGGCACCTCTTGGTTTCGTCTGAGACAGAAGGTTCAAGTAAGACTAAGCTGAGACGGTTCTTCCGTGCGGCGCGCGAGCCGGCTCTTCAAGTGCTGGACGTCCACACGTGCATCTGTTTCGCTAGCTGGTGCACGTAGCCGATGTCGGGCCTCTGGTCGGGATCCGGGTAGATGCACGTGCTCACCAGCTCCCGCAACTGCGAGGAAGAAAAGAGGGTGGTGAGCAGAGCTCGCTCGCCCGCCGGGACGTCCAGATGTGGGGCCCCCAACACCTGGGAGTTCCAGAAGCGAGCCTAGTGCGTTTGGCGGTTCAGCCTAAGGGACGCTGGGGTTTGAAAGGGACCGCCGACATAACGGCGCTGGAGCTGTGCGGTTGGATCGCCGGAGGAAGAGAGAAGTGGGGCCGAAGAGGTGACGCCCAGAGAAGGAGTCCTTCTCCAGCAGCTCCATCCTGCAATGAGCCTGCTTTTGGCCTGCGAAGGTACTTGAGATGGACAACCTGCCCTGGCCGTGACCCACTTGCTCCCGCTTGCGTAATCAGCGGAGGCGAACAGCCCAGACGCCCACCCCTTGGCTCTTTTCATTTTGCACTTGAAAGGCTGGGAGCTTTTAATTACGCAGGCCCGGGAAGCAGCGTATATACCCTGTGGTACCGAGAGAGACAGCCGTGGGCTGCTTGATCTTCTCCCACCCTCTCAGCAGCCCCGGGGGTAATTATTTTAACAGTAATTAAGGGGACGACTGTCCCACATCCAGGTCCTGTGGATCGGCAATGCTCTCCAGGCAGAGGGTCAATGGCATGGGAGAGCTGGAGTGGCGGGGGGCAGGGGGGCTTGATCCAGGCCAATCTGGATGGGGGCTTGAGGTGGGAAGAGGTACAGCCCGGTGGCTTGTTCTGCTTCTACGGCCAAATTGCAGGGAATTGTTCTACTGACGGAAGCCACCTCGGACACATGTGGACGTTCTTCAGCACGTCGGCCTTGGAGCACAGCCGCTCAAGAGTAGCAACGCTCGAGCGAGCTGCTCCCTGCAGCCTCTCGCTAAAGTCCCATCTGGAACCGAATTCAGAGACCTGCTACTTGGGGCTTCCAACCATTCTTCTCACCCTGGGTCGGATCGTTAGATCGCCATGTGCCTTCGTGTTTAGCAGTGCCAGAGGGAAGCAAAGTGATAGTAATTGGAGAAGCAGGAAGTCACATCTGTCAACCTGAACTAATTCCTCCCGCCACAAGGCAGGTTCCAAAGAGCTGGAATAATCGCGTGGGCAAAGACAGGGCACGGCATTCGTTGCCACGGGAGTGGCCTGCAAGAGGGGACCCACACTCAGGTCCACGGGCCACCTGCACTTTGCCCATCAGCAATCAAACGCTTTGGGCATTCCAAGCAGAAGGGAAGTTACGGACGTGACCTGCGCTATTTAGTAACACTAACTTCTTATTCAGTCAGCAAAAATGCAAATCTTCCATCTGAAAAAAATCAGTGAACTTGCACATAAAGCTGAGCGTGCTTTACAGTAAAGATGCTTGCACTTCTTGGCCAGGGGTGAGCAAGCCAACTTGTGGAGATTCTGCCCAAGCTGTGCTTGCAGCTCGGGGTTTTCCGAACAGGCTAAGAGGAACGGTGGGAATAGGGTCGTGAAAAGCCTCCAGAACACACTTGCATTCATGGAGGGCAGTGGTGGACTTTGAAGAAGCTGATATTTCAGCTGCTTGGATTTCATTACTGGCTTGCCATTTCTAAACCGTTCTATATTTGTTGGGGGTGGGGGGAGGATGCAGAAGGCCACTTTCCAAGCATGCCCTCACATTCATTTTTAACCCGGTCCATTTCACAAGGGATCAGAATCAAGCAAAGCGTATTCTCCGTACTTCCCTAAAAGCCGTTCTTGGCTTTAAGTGGCCCAAAACTTAATCAGGTATCAAAAGACCCCGTACCATGGCTGGGTCCAGCCACAGTACGTGGCACATCTGGACTGGGAAAGGGATGACGTCTGGAAGCCCCCGACAGCATCTCTCCCTGCCATCTTCAATCCCCTTCTGTTTTCAAACAGAAAACAGACATATGTCAAGCTGGATGCCCACCAGGCCCCGGTGGGCATCCAGCTTGACGTACTTAACGGGAAAAGCTTTTTTCCCTGCACGACTTGTAAGCGTCTCTCCCATAAAGGCTTCTGCGCCACAGACCAGAGCGCGATCTGCGCCTCTGCAAGCCGCTTACCTTTTCGGAGTAATGCTCAGCTGGGAGAGGTGGGTAATCACACTGCTCTATCTTTTGGCAGAGGGAAAAAAGGTTCATTTTATCGCCGTAGAAGGGACTCTGGAGAGCTGCCATCTGGAAAAAAAAGAGTTGAAGAGGGAAGAATGCAGAAGAGGTCTCGGGAGGAGGCATCAAATTGTGCCCATATCTAGGGACGGTTGGGACTGGACGTTTGCTTCTAAGTTTCAAAGACTTTCTGGAGGGGACCCCCTGCTGGCATCTGCACTAGGAACAGCCCCCCTTTAACCCACCCCACACTGCTGCTGCCCCTTCAGCGCCCAATAAACAGACTGAAGCAGGAAAACATAAACTAGCTGTGATTTGGTGAAAGATATTGCAGGAATTCTCTCTTCAAAGAGCATAATTTATAGCTGCTTTGGCCGAGAAAACCATCACCGTCTCAGAAAGCGCGGTGGTGAGGCCAGGAGGTAACTCTTACTCCAGCTATCAGATTCCCACCAGGACACTTTTCTACCGCTCTCTTAACTTTCTTTCAAAAGGCCACAGAGGCAGACTGGCTTTCGTAGACATCCCTGCGCCGTGGTTTTGGTCTGGGAGAAGAATGACTAGACTTCTCCTACCACGGGAGCCCCTTCTGCTGCGCTCTGACCTCAGCTTTTAGATGTCTGTGCATTTTATCCTCCAGGAAGATACTTAACATAGAGTTGTGGCCCCTTTGCAGATATTTTCCAGTTGCAGGAGAAACACTCTGCTTTGTTTCCATGAATTGTCTCATGCTGGCTTCTCAGAAACACCACCTAACCATCGCCAGCATCTCTACGACCAAGAGAAAGATCACCGCCCAGGGCCGTGACATCCGGGGTGGCGTACAGGACAACCGAGCTGGATATCGGGTCTGGCTGTGGACAGCTAGCTCTGAGGGCTTTCAAGAACTTTGGCTTTTTCCTTTCACCCCGTTTCGCAAAATAGAAGCCATGCGCCTGGCTACCCAACCCAAGCCCATCCAGAAGAATCAAAGAAGGTGAACAGAACAAGAAAGGGGTGCAAAACTCCCCTTGATTGGAGATAACCCTCCCGGGGGCCATAATATTGACTCCAGAAGTGGAGGACTCTGCTTGGCCATGCCCAAACTTTGAAGAAAGCCAACATGGGCAAACAGAAGCCAGCGAAGCCCCCGGGCCCCTCTCCAGTCTTGGGGGCTCAGATTCCAACCCAAACCTGCCTTAATCTGGATTAAAAGCAGCCCCTCTTCACCACCACCCCAGCAAGGGGGCCAGTGTCTCCCCTGCCCCAGCCTGAGTTAGGTCTGTGTTCAAAGGGAATGCTGCGAGCGAGCCACACCGAGCTCGGTGGGCAAGGGGGCCTCCCCCGCCCCCGGACCCCTCGGCGCGCAGCCCGCACGGAGGCTCAGCTGCTTATTAATCCATAATGCTATTCAAGGGCTTCCTGTCACTCTTGCTGTCCCAGGCTGCCCCCCAGCCCCCCCCAACAATGAAAGGCACCTCCTTCTAATGAAGCCCTATTGGATAATTGTGGGTATTATCCACTCTGGCCAGATCATCTTTTTCAACCCCTTTTGAAGCGCCCTCCCCGCTTTAACAAGGAGTTTGATCATGGTTAAGTCATTGGCTCATTATCATGCACAGGGAAAGCTCTCTCTTCGATCAGCAAGCGCCCTTGTTTTCCACTTTAAGAAAAGCAGAGAGAAAGATTCACTCCTGTTGCCCATCTCAGAGCTTAAGGAAGACATTCTCACGGGCAGAGGAAACGATCACGACCTCTGGGAACCTAGAAATGGTCCTCGCCACCGAAAGGGTAATATTTGGGAGAAAACGGGGCCCATTTTCAGCCCTGCAAAGCCTTTGCTGATATTTGCTTCAGGCGTGGTTCTGTGTCCAGGAAAAGGTGGGGATGGGGAGGAACCCATGGAGGCTTAGCAGACGGGTCACCGTTGGTCTATGCTGGTTCTCCAACTTCTCAAGGGACAAGCGGCCAATTTTCCTTGCCTAAGATTTAGAGAGAAGCTCTCAAGGCAAACTCGTTGACTCAAGGATGCCGCTGTTTTAGTCAAGGCCCTCCAAATGTGGACCCCACCCTCCAAAACAAACCGGCCCCAGCCAGCTGCCTTCTAAACATGGGCTGAACCTTTGGCATCGCTGTCCTGATCTTGCCTTCGAGGTAGACCCCTCAAGCACTGTCAGGAGGCTACTGTGCGGGATCAGGGTGGAGACCCCCAAAAACGTTCATAGGTGCGATCTTAGAACAATCGGAGAAGAGTTGCCAGATCTCCCTTTCGAACCAACCACCAGGGTGGCCTACAAGCACCCAAGCGGGCTCTCTGCGGAAACGGATTATCTTGTTAGACTGGCTAAAGCTGCTGACGCTCCCAGCTATTTTTTTGAGAAGTGAGAGAACTAACTTTGATCTCCTGCAAGTTATCGGGATGACACATCTCCGAGAGAGGGGGAAAGCTTCCCCTATTTTGATCAGATGCGTCGTACATCAACGCGGGATCGTAAATGTCAAGTTAAGGTGGCATCATTTGAAACCGTGCATACGCACCCTCCAGTGTGAAATAATAGGAAAGGGAATTCTGACTGGCAAGCCTGCCTCCAAGCGATCTGCAGACAAAGATCTCTCCAGTTTATCGGTTTCATATGGGGATGGGGGGAGAGCAGAGAAAGCAGAACAGGAAAAGCAACTTTCAACTACCCAATAATGGTTTTTCTCATTCTTAACAAAGCCAGAATGCAGAACGAGAAGGGGGCACTGGCGCTGACCCCTTTTTGGGGGCGGGTAGGACTGGAGGTTCATTAGCAAGATGTGAACTACCCCCATCATCATTGGAAAGTCAAGAGAGCAGCCAGGGAGGACAGGGCAAATTCTGGAGCAGGCCCCAAATTGGGAACGCATTTCTACCAAGCTGAAACCAGAGGTAGCAGAATGGGAGGCTACGGCTCATCGTACCTTGGCTGCAAGGCAAGGGAAAAGCAGGATAAAGACATAAAAATAAGGGATAACCTTACCAGATGACTGCGTGTGCCTACTTGTGGGCAAACAGCCACCCTTCGTGCCAAGGGATAATGGGGGAGGGAGAACTAGCCGTGTTTTAGGGGGTCTAAGGTAGTTTTGAAAGAACCTCTCAGGCACACTCGGAATAATTCCATACATTGCCTGGCGTTTGTGGAAAAACAACCATCTTAGTTATATTTTTTCTAAGACCAGGGAACTGGGAATTCCAGCCAACATGGCTGGAGTGGCAAAAATTTACTACAGGTGGGGGTAGGATCCTTTGGACAATGGCACTGAAGATGAGCAGTAAATTAGCATCCAGCTGTGCTGTTCTTCATACAGAAAATATGTTGAACAAGGAAACACACTTCTGAACAGCTGTTGTGCTACATCTCTGGCTAAGAGCTGTGGTGGCACTTTGCATCTTACATGGGAAATCAAAACACGCTCATTTTTCTCCATCCTAAAGGTTCTGGACAGGATGACACTGTTTTCTTTACATGAGAATCCTATGGGTTTTGGGGCATGGCAACTTCAGGTTGAAAAATTATGAGATACTTTTCTGTTTCACAACCAGCCAACATAGCTTGTGACATATTCTAGAATAGTAAAAACGTTGTGAAAAAATAAACTCTTTTAAATACAGCTGACGACGTCATTGCAAAAGCCTTTCTTGCGGAAGCAAGGTCATGAAGATTTCCCCATTAAGTGGAACTCGTAGATCAGGGCTTCAGCTCTAGTTGGGGTTGAGAACTGATGCTCTCCAACTAGGCGGAGTTGGCAGCAACAAGGCCCTTCCTTGATCAACAACAGGATCAATTCTTTTCCTGGACTATGTTGAGGCTGGAGCACCAGCCAAGGAATTGCTCCAAATTCTACGTGATCCCCGAGCCAACATTGGGCAATGCGAAGCCCAAGTGCAGCAGAGAGAGGTTCCATGAGACATATGACGTCCTTCCTGGGGCCCATTCTTCAAGGGCACATCTGACTGAGCGATGGCGCTGGCCATGTTAGGAGAAACCTATAGCTGGCTTTGGTTGCATCTTTTTGGAAAAGGAAGTCACCATACTGGACCTCTCACCAGACGAGCAGAGGACTATTAGTGTCGCGCTGTGCTACTCTCCCTTAATCCCTACAGCCTTGTCTCATTGATTTGGTGTATTGACTTCTCTGCTCCAATACTCCTCTCCTTCTCACTGAAACGTGCACGAGGCTTTGGTGTACTGCCAACAAATTAATCAGCACCTATTGAACTGCTGGATGATTTGGGTCTGAAACTCGCAACGGCAGCATACTGCCTTGTTAAACAAGCATCTGTTACACCTGGGACTTCTTTCTGCATCAAGGAGCATCCTCCTGGGAACATCTGCGAGACTGCCCTTCTCAAAACCCAGCATGGAAAGGCCGGTTTTTTCTGGGCAGATCTGTTGTTCTTACACGTCTGCCCTTCGTCCTCATTCCATGCGCCAGTAGAAAAAGGCAAACATAGTCTCAGCCATTTGGGCCAAGGCTGGAACAAAAGGCTCTCAAGAGAGAGGCAACATCTCTCCAAAATCAAGATCCATCACAAACAGCTGCTGAAGAGCAACCAGGAACCGACATTCCCTGTGTGTTTGTGTACCTTTGCTTACAGACACCTCTGCTCAGGAACAGAACAGCCCCACAGTGTTGCAATCTTTTGATTAAACCATAACGTGGCTTAAATTCCACCCTTGCAACGTGGGGTGTATCTACCGCCAAGCCCTTCCTTTAAAAAAAAAAATGGATTATGTTCCAGCGGCGTGGATCTCATGCCAAATTTAGAAACAATCCAGTGATAACTCAAGGGTGTGGGCAGGATATTACTGCTTTGTTACCTGCTAAGGACCCAAATAAGTCAAGCTGTGAAAATGCCCAGCTCTGGACGTTAAAGATTCTAAAAACTGGATAGGATCCCCGAATCAATACTGAGGATCATACAATTCTGGATTTAAGCAGCAGAGAGCATCGTTCGGCTTCAACCTTGCCTTTTTTTGACAAGATCAACCAGGGCTAAGTAGCGGATGGACATTTTGCCCCAGTTGGTCCCTAGAGACGAACTTACGAACCCAGAGCAAAGCGGTCCGGCTTTTTTCTGAACCAATTTACTTGCCCTTCATGTCTGTGGTTCCATATTAGACAAAAGCAGAACAGATGCTTACCTCATACAGTAAACAGCCCAAAGACCAGATATCAGATTTAAAATTATAGCCGTTTTCGTGTATTCTTTCTGGGGACATATAATACGGTGTTCCCACTGTAAGAGAGAAGCCGAGACAAGGAGATTAGATTAGCCTGTCCCCACAATGGGATAATTCGCTGGAATGATCTGCAGAGAAGAGTGAGGAAGGGTATACAATGCATCGTTCCTCGGCACGATGCTCAGAAACCAAAGGTCAGGAAACAGAGCCCGGAGGCCCGAATACAAAAGCACCATTTAAAAAAAAATAAATTTAAAAAATGTATCTCATGATCAAGAATGACTTTCTACTTGGGTGCATTAAGACATCTTAAAATTGATTGTCCCCTTCTACCAGAGCTCTATGGCAGCAGAGTGCAAGCCACCGACATCTCTTCTCCAGCACTCATCCAATCCCCCAAAGAGGTGCATTTGGTGAGCAGAAAAGTGCCAGATGAGGCCCAGCTTGTTCTTGGCCCAGCCAACACCAATCTCACAAAGAGTAGATGTGGCAAAGGACGGGCAGAGAAGGGAGCAGGACTGAAGAGTAGATCTTACGAAGCCTTTCCGATACTAAGCAGAAGACCTTGTGAACTTCTGGGAGAGGTTGGAGATCCTGCGCAGCAAACCTCCTAGTAACATGGGAGGAAACGTCGTGGATGGATTTGGAGGACGAACGTGAGATTCACAACCCTGAGCGTGATAGGGGGGCACAGAGAAAGAATACGCCAAGTAGCCAAGCTGAGCTTTCGAAAGCTGGGATGGACAAGCACAGCCTGGTCGTGAGGACAAGGATTTCCTACAGCTCTGCTATTCCTCTGTTCCCTGGAATTTGCTTCTGGCAGCAGCCGAGCGCCCATCATCCATGTCCCAGCTCTCAATGGGCATCTGCTGCCAAGCCAGGTTGGCGCCGCTTCTGGTGCCAAATTGTGCCAACGGAGGGAGTTTTCTCCTTAGGAGAACGAAAACCTGCCCATTATTCCCAGCAAGATAAAACACCCAGCCAAGATCTGTTGCAACACAGCCTTTGACCCCAGCCTGCCCTGGCTGCGTAGTGCAGAAGACGGTGTGGGAGGAGGTGCATGAACCAGCGTTTTGTGCAATGAACTGTACGGAGTGACTCAAGGCAGGATGGAGAGACGCTAAAAGCAAATAGGACTGAACCTCGCCTTTTAAAAAAGACCCTTCCCTTTAAGCTTTCTTCCAAAAAGAGGCTTTGGAGTCAGCAACCCTGGGGTTTTCTCCTCCCAAGATTGCATTTGCTTGGAATGAGATGCCTGGGGCGGGTCTCCCCCCAGTTCCTCCTGCTAAAACTCTCCAGCTGCAAAAATCGTTCCTTATTGCAACTCCTTGCAGAACGCTCTGAACCCAGATGGTCCAAATGCTGAATTCTGAGCCAAGTCAACCTGGAGTCTGAACCAGGGCCTGGCTGGATAAGCACCAGCCCCTGGGCAAATACCAGGCCCCAAATTTATATTCGGCATCCTGCAAAATCCCAGTTTTTGCAACTGGGAATAAGAGTTTCCTCCGAGCAAAGCAGGAGGATTTTCCCCCCACCAACAAAAAACTACAGCTGCTACAGCCTGAGTTGGTCACTTCACGTAAGCGACGACTTTTTATACATTTCAGCAGCGGACAAATCCCCAAAGTGGTTCTTGAAAAGCCGCTCGACTTGAGCAAATCCAGACATGCTGACGCAATCGCCTTCCTTTTGTTAATTCAACGCTCCTTGCGTAAAACTTGGGTCAATGACTCAACGCAGGCTGTGAAGAGAGGAAATACTGAAGGGCATGAGATCTTTTGTTTGGAAAGGTTGGGTGGCGAAAGGATCCCCCCCCTTGCAGAGAACACGCAAGTCAGTTCCCGCTGAGGACGGCTGAAGGGCCCTAAGCTGGAGGTCTTCTGCTCCCCCCCAGCCCATTTGGCCCCAACCTGAGCCAACCGGGGACGGCATCTTCTCCAGCAACGGACAGGTGGGCGGAAGGGGAGCAGGATGAGAGAGGCTGTTAGAGGGTCTTGATCACCTGCAAAAAAGACAATCTTGCAGACCCCTTTGCCCCTCGGGCTCTGCCCTTCCGCCTCTGAATAAGCCTCGGAGTTGACAAGGGTTTTAAGGATGCGCCCCCAAGTTTCTTCTGCTGGCTGCCAGCTTAAGCGGGCCTCGCCCTGACTTGCCTTACGAAGACGAACGGGTGGCGCGGGACCCTCCCAGCCCGTCCGCGTAATTTGCCGTGCAGAGCGGAGACGTCCCCCCCCCCGTCTCCGGCGAAGAGCGCACGGGCAAATCTTCCCTTTTTCTTTCATTACCCCGGCATGTACTGTCACTTAATTTTTATGTATGCAATCCCTCCTGACAAACGTGATCCGCCGCCAGGTAATGCGTTTGACGTTCGTTCTGTTTCTCGCTCTAATTATGGCTTCTGTTTCTGACACGGAGGCGTCTGCCCTGCCGGAGCTGAGACTACACCTGTCAGACAAGTGGCGGTGTTGCCTAATGCCCTTTTATGCCGGTCTGATGTTAGCAAATAAGGGGCGGGGGGCGAAATAGGTGCATCTATTTGCATAAGCTCCCTGCTCGGTTCGTGGGTCACCAGCCTTCGGTATGAGAGTTCAGGGTGGTTGCCAAGGCAACCGTGAAATAGAAAGGAACCGGTATCACACGCAAAAGCGTGGCACGCATGCATTTCCTGTTGCCGGTTATCAACCTGTAAAATTCCCAGATTAAAGTAATCCTGCAAGGTTGCACCGCCAGGAAGCGAGCAAAACGGCTTAAAACAGGCAGGGTGCTGAAGCCGTTTGGCTTCGGGAACAACGAGGGCTCTTTCTGAGGGAAAGCCGCCCACGTGCCTGTTGTGGCGAGGGCCAGCGCGGGCACCTCGGCCGCCCCTTGCTTTGGCTGGCTGGCGATGCTTCCTCAAGCACCAGGAGGGGGCGGTTCCGGCAGGTTTGTCCTCAGAAGCCCTCGCGCATCGATTGATCTCTGCTTGCACTGATCGCTGGCCTTCCGCTTCACCGCCAGCTCCCGAAAGCTAAGTTTTAGGCTGCTTTGTAAGGGCAGCCAAGAAAGGAAAGGAAATCAAAGCCCTGCACGCGGCCCGCTTTTTGCCCATCGCGGTACGGAACCTTCCGGCGCGGCTGCAGGCGACTCCCCAGAAACACGGGGCCGTTTAGCAGCAGTGCAGAGGTGGGCTTGTCACTGGCTTCCTCTGGCGTCCAGAGCGTGAGTTTCACGGTCCTTCTTTCCGAGTATCAGCTACCTACCCAAGTAGCCGGGCCCTGCTTAGCTTCCAAGCTCAGAAAAATCAGCCAGGCGCTGTCGCCCACTTTTTACTTCCTTGGTCGCTATCACTGATTACATTTGTACCCCACCGCAATCAAGGTGGGGGACTCTTGGCAACTCAACTTGACCTCCACCTGCTCACGCTGGAATGAAAAAGGGGGGTCATTTAGGGCAGAATTTTCAAGAATGTTCCAAGCTGATTTTTACCAAACCACCCCCCTGCGCCTTCCCTCCTGTTTGGCAATGTTGCAACAGCAGGTCGCTGGGGGAAGAGCTCATCTCCCGGAGGACAACTTGACACAGCAAGGTGAAATCCTGCTGGGATTGTGAAAGAAAGAAAGAAAGAAAGAAAGAAAGAAAGAAAGAAAGAAAGAAAGAAAGAAA